CCCCCCCCCCCCCCCCCCGAAATAACGAAAATATAAAATAATAATAATAATAAACAATTAATAAACATTTTTTTTTGGGGGGGGGGGGGCATCCAGTCCGATGAGGTTTATGACTTTAACGGATGGTGGCCAAAATAGTGTTCAATTGTTGGATGACTCCAGTCAAGGGCTACTCCTCTCGGCGGATTCGCTTATCTCGAGAGATCGGGGTAAAATGGACTCTTATCTGTGGATCCCGGGATGAAATTAATTCTATAGGAAATATAATATTTACTTAGGGCGGCTGTGAAAGAGTGGATTACAGAGGCGTAACTAAACGGGGGTGACAGATGTCCCTGGGCGCCAGATTCGTTAGGGCGCCAAAATGTGCTTTGATATTATTTTGTAGATGAAAATAATGGGGTTGAGAGTTCAAAAAGAAAGAAAGAAAGGGAGGCGCATTAAAATAAATCTTGTCCCAGGGCACCAAACACTCTAGCTGCGCCTCTGGTGGGTTTTCAATGATTGTTTAATTTCAACGCAAGATAAAAAAACAAAATGTTTTTGCGCGGTTGTTCTCTCGATTCTAGTTTCTTTATTAACCGTGCTTATATCTACAAATAGCTAACTAGCTTAATCTATGCTTGATTAAACCAAAACTCTATTATGACAGGCCCTTTGATTAAAATCTTTAACTTGAAGTTTGTGTTTTATTCTTTAAATTCAGCACATTTTAATTTCGAATCCGTTACGAGCTATTTACACGCAAAGTTTTCGAAAGACTTTGAAATGGGGTACGTTTCCAATAAAAATCAAATTCTTAAAATGTTAACCATCTGTTACTATATAGTACATTTATATTTTTATGTATTATGAAGTGGAGCTAGAAAGTTAAAAAAAAAAAATAATAAGTTAAGGGACCTTCTCAACAGACAAGTGGGGGCTCATCTTCTCAACAGACAAGTGGGGGCTCATCTTATCACGTGACAATTGGAGGCTTATCTTCTAAAGTGACAAGTGGGGACTCATCTTCTCAAGTGACAATTGGAGGCTCGTCTTCTAAAGTGACAAGTGGGGGCACATCTTCTCAACTGACAAGTGCGGGCTCATCTTCTCAAAAGACAAGTGGGGGCTCATCTTATCACGTGACAATTGGAGGCTTATCTTCTAAAGTCTTCCTGTCGAAGACAATAGGGGACTGGAACAAGCTTCCAAAAGCAACAGTTGAGGCAGCTACACTCGACATATTTGTGTCTATCGCCTCCTGTATTCCAACCCCCAGTTCATAACACCAGTGCTGAGTCGCCCTTGCAACCAGTGAAGCATCCCATTGAAACCCATGGACAGTAACATCGCAAACCCCTCTGAAACATAGGAGCCACAATGATCAATTCATTGATCGTGGGTCCTCAAAATAAAGAAGAAGAAGAAGTGACAAGTGGGGGCTCATCTTCTCAAGTGACAATTGGAGGCTCATCTTTTAAAGTGACAAGTGGGGGCTCATCTTCTTAACAGACAAGTGGGGGCTCATCTTCTTAAGTGTCAAATGGGGGCTCATCTTCTCAAATGACAAGTTTGGGCTCATCTTTTCAAATGACAAGTGGGGGCTCATCTTCTCAAGTGACAAGTGGGGGCTCACCTTCTCAACAGACAAGTGGGGGCTCATCTTCTCAAGTGACAAGTGGGGGCTCATCTTCTCAACAGACAAGTGGGGGCTCATCTTCTCAAGTGACAAGTGGGGGCTCATCTTCTCAAGAGACAAGTTGGGGCTCACCTTCTTAACAGACAAGTGGGGGCTCACCTACTCAACAGACAAATGGGGGCTAATCTTCTCAAATGACAAGTTTGGGCTCATCTTCTCAAATGACAAATGGGGGCTCATCTTCTCAAGTGACAAGTGGGGGCTCACCTTCTCAACAGACAAGTGGGGGCTCATCTTCTTAATTGACAAGTGGGGGCTCACCTTCTCAACAGACAAGTGGGGGCTCATCTTCTCAAATGACAAGTTTGGGCTCATCTTCTCAAATGACAAGTGGTGAATCACCTTCTCAACAGACAATTGGAGGCTCTTCTTCTTAATTGACAAGTTTGGGATCACCTTCTCAACAGACAAGTGGGGGTTCATCTTCTCAAATGACAAGTTTGGGCTCATCTTCTCAAATGACAAGTGGGGGCTCACCTTCTCAACAGACAAATGGGGGCTCATCTTCTCAAATGACAAGTGGGGGCTCATCTTCTCAAGTGACAAGTGGGGGCTCACCTTCTCA